TATTTTTAAATAGGATTGAAACAGATTTTCGGCATCTGTGGCGTAGGTGTTGCGAACGCGCTTCGTACTGTCGGAGTGCCAGGTTCGATCTCAGCTGCAGGCCTTGCGCCTTGCGTTGATTTCAACAGTGGTATCGAGAAACCGACCGTTCAGAGGGCAAACTACTGGGCGTAAACTTGCCTAGAAAACCCACAACAGCCAACAAACGCTAGGGCTGGTTCTACAACGTCCTGTAAAGGAAACGCAACTAACTTATTTTGAAACAGATTGGGACTGTATAGTTCATTATTATGAATACACGCTTGAATAAAGGTGTGAATTAACAAGAAGTGACATCACGGAGCATTCCCACGCGTGCAACGTCCCCTTCTTCAGTAGCCAATTAAGAGTTCCCATGCTAATAGGAGCTGTTGCATTATGACCCAAAGCCCGCCTATATTTCCCCCAGCGTTAAATATTATCCATAACCCCAGCTTTTTCTAAAAAAGTTAGTTTAGTATTCTTTGCAGGAAGTTTGAGAACCAACTCCAGCAGGTTTTTTTGGGAGGGGGGGGGGGGGGGGGGGGGGGGCTGTTGTGGTTTTCTTGGCAAATTTACGTCCAGTGCTACTGCTTTTTGGACGGTCGGCTTTTCGATACCACTGTTGAAATCATCGAAAAGGCGCAAAGACCCGCAGCTTTGATGGTACCCGACATCCTGGCATTTCGAATCTCGTTCTCAAAGCCTAAACCCCAGACGCCGATAACGCCTGCTTACCCCCGCTGAAGGTATGGGTTACTCGGCCAGTTCTGTTCCGCTGCCCACTTCATTCTAGATAGCTTTCACCGCGTTTACTTGATTATAAAGTAGCTCATCACCCGGAGGGGCGACAACAGCTAATCCATCAACTTGCTCATTACTTCGCACACCAAAATATCCTGGACAACAATCCACTATACACTGTTGTCAGGAGGGGTCACCTGCCCTGTCCAACAATTCATTAATTAAAGTAATCTAGACATCTAAAACCCCTTTCCTTTGCTGGTGGGTACCAAGCGTAGCTGCTGTTTATTTACATTACAAGCCACATTTGGCTGTTTTCGTGGATATCCTGGATTAGGTCTTGTAGTAACTCAACTCAGACACTAGTCCAGATCCTCAGATGGAGGTGAAGTGTCGACATTCTAGAGATTCTAACTCAAGCTTATCGCAAAAGCATCTATCCACGAGAAACTCATGACAATCACACATACACGCACGCACACACACACACACGCACATAAACACACACGCAAAGGATGTAAAAAGGAGGAAGGGGGTGGGGGAGGAGTGTCGCCCACTTGGAAAAAAATATTAAACGAAGTTTTAAGCTCAACTACGCAAAACCCGATCTGGCCACAACGAAGTTCAAAGATCTCAATGAATATTTACATTCCGGGAACATCCCCGGAGTTCACGAGTGCAATACAGTCTATGAATAAACATGAAACAGTGACAATAAAACGTAGACAACAGAGAGTTAGGTGGTTAAAACCAGTGCTTCTTGTGTATTTGAGAGATCTCAACAGGTTAGGTTAGTTGCGTATTCTTTACAGGACGTTGCAAAACCAAACCCAGCAGCCCCTGTCTGTTGTGTGGTTTCTCTAGGCAAATTTACCTCCATTAGTTTGCCATTGCTGTCTGAAACGGTCGGCCCCCCTGATACCACTGTCGAAACCAACGCAAGGTGCATAGCCCGCAGCTGGGATCGAACTCGACACCCCGGCATTACGAAGCGTTCGCATCGACTTAGCCACGGAGCTGACGATCTCATCAGAGTGAATGTAAAAAACAAGTCAGTCGAGCACATTTTATTGAAATTTTACCAGGCATTTTCCGTTCATTAGTTGAAGAAATAACTCAATGGTCGCCTGTCGAAGCCAACGCAAAGCGGTCTGCTGTCAAATCGTCCACCACCTGAATCGAACCAGGTCTCCTTCATAAATATGAACAAAGTTCGCAATGTCTAAGCCACAGACCCCGATGGAGGATTACAGAGATAATATTAGGGTGTCCGGATCATTTCAGTTATGCTATATATCATCATCGTCATATTCACGTGCCGTGCCAGTAAGCGTAGGCTGTTATGTATCATCATCCCACACGAATACCAGTATCACGGATCAGGTAAGTGTTCTTGTCACGCCCCTATCCATGTGGCCAGGCCATTCAGATATGTATCTCTTCTACCTTCATCTTGCTCTCTTTTTCTATCAGTCTTGCTAATTATTACCAAGTTCTCAAGTCTCAAGTCCATTTACTCTCATAACATGTCCAGCTATCTATGGAATTTGCCTGGGTTGTCTCCCATAACATGTCCAGCTATCTATGGAGTTTACCTGGGTTATCTCCCATAACATGTCCAGCTATCTATGGAATTTGCCTGGGTTGTCTCCCATAACATGTCCAGCTATCTATGGAGTTTACCTGGGTTGTCTCCAATAACATGTCCAGCTATCTATGGAGTTTACCTGGGTTGTCTTCCATAACATGTCCAGCTATCTATGGAGTTTACCTGGGTTGTCTCCCAGGCGGGGCACCTTTACCTAGACCAGTGTTTCCCAAACTTGTTTTTTAAAAGTCGCAGCGCCTTTTATCAATTACAATTTTTCCATGGCGCCCTAACCTAAAACTCGTGTATCTCGGAATATTTCGCTTTGCAGCGCCCCTGCAAAGAGTCGCGGGCGCTGTGGCGCACAGTTTGGGAATCACTGACCTAGCCCAGTGTTTTGCCCACGCTCCATGGGAGGGAGGGAAGGGGGGGGGGGACAATTTGATTGTTAAAAGCAAGGCTGTTCGAAAATGGACTCGTCCATAGTTTAAATTACATGTAAAAAGGAAGGGGGGGGGGGTAGAAAGGCTTTGAAAACGGGTTGGGAAACACTGAGCTAGATGGTTGTCTGGTAAACTGCTTCTATACTTATTGAGCCATTACTGTCTTGTTGTGTCATTATATGTCAAACAGGTCTTGCAGTCTATTTCTCTGGTCGGTTCTAACATTTGCGATCACTTCGACTTCATGGATGGAATTCCGTCCAGCACTTTTGGCTTCTCTTAACGTTCTTTTTAAGGTTTCTTGCTCGTCTGTCTGTCCCACTTCATAATTCATTTGATTGTTTTAGACTCTGCAGAGCAACTGATAGTCGTTGTTTCATTTCTTTACTGTATCACTACTGTTGGTAATCAATGACCGAGGGTATTTAAAAAAAAAATGTTCACAACCTCTAATCTTCCCTCATTAACATATATGCAGTTTTATCAGTTCTTATCACAATTTCGGTCCCTGGCCACGCCCATATACACACTTATGAATGATGAAGGCAAGACAGAAAACTGTGATTGGACGGTCAGACTTCGCCTTCAGCTGTCATACGGTCACACCGTCCTTCTTAGGACGTTATTTTTTGTTATTTGAAGCCCCACTCTGGCTTTTGCCAGGGGCCGCAATATAGACAGGTCATCATTATGGCCAAATGTCTGAACGCGGTTTCTGGGACCTCTCCACGGTGATCCTCATCCGCATGGTGGCACTTTGTGTCATTGGGTGTTTATCGCTTGTGTGATGTCCTGGTGGGGAATAAAATCCAATCCAATCCACGTGTAAGGTGCAGGGGTGTCAGCTGTCTAGCTCGCGTAGATGTTGCACTGCGGACAGGTACATAGTGGCTTTTTTGAGCTATTTAGTATATAGTATTAGTGTTTGTTGGTGGGTACATATCAGCAGTCTAGAATTGTGCTTAGGAAATGAGTTTATTGCAGAGGGTAGAGTTCTGCGTCTGCAGCGACACATAGAATGCACTGTCTCGTGGGACCTAAGTTCAGAATAGGGGTTGGCTCCGGCCTAGTTGCAGATTTTATGGGGTCGTTAAAATCGCCAACTTGCTGTAGTAAAGATGTCGCGTCACAGGAGAGTGAGTTCTTGATGCCCAGAGGTCGTCAATGTTGTCGTGGAGTTAACAGCCAACCCTACACGATGGACGAGTCGTGATGCTGACTTCCCTTAGCGGGCACGTCACATTTCAAACTTAAACTCGTGCGGAGGGGTATATATCCTTTATATTGATATACACCTTTATATGGTGAAATATTCATTTCTAGACCCTCTAGTTGCTTTGAGAAATCTTCATTTTCAAACTTGCAACTGTTGGCTGAGTATTTCTGGTGTTTAATTAAGAAATTCCTGTAAGCCTGTTTACTCCTTGGGCATGAATACAGGGACTTCTTTCCTAGAGACGCCAAGCGTAGTTTTGAGCGGCATTCTTTCGCCTGATCTCCAAGGTATCAAGACGTGTATACAGTCTATGAATAAAATTGGCGCATTCAAAGTACCAGTTCTATATTTGAGGAATTCCTAAGCTTGAGTTGCCCTACTCCTGAAATAAGTTGAGCGTACATTGGCCACGGGATATCCCTTAGACCAACACGAGCCAACGACTCAACATTATTATTTCAGAGTGCTGTTGGTTCTTAAGGAGAAATCCTTAAATCAGGCACGTGACAGGAGCGGTATGTGACAAAAGTGTGTCATAAAATGACGACCATCGGACACAGCTACTGCGACATCCTTCCAACCTTTGCAGAAGTCTACTAGGCTGGCTCGTCGGCAGTAATTTATAAGGATTGAAAAGGGGTTCTTTTGTAATAAGTCTCTCCCCTCCCACCCCCCCCCACCCCCCAAGACGTCACAGGGACAGTCCAATATTTTATATGGTGGTAACACCGGGTTTCTTGGCTGTGTTGTGCTTTTAACTACCCCAAAACTTCTAGAACTGGACCGAACCCCAACCCACCTACATTCCATGAGAGAGTTCAGCCTAGGTCCCACGACTGCATGCAGCCTAGGTCGCACGACTGCATGCAGCCTATTTACCACCCCCTGAAATATTGAACTGTCTGTGTGGGGTGAAAAGAAACGAAAAACACCCAGTGCACAAGGAAACAAACAAACCTGTGAGTACCGTTGCCTCAGACACAAGACTTACCCATTATCCAGTATGGCTTGTATTCATATATGGTGCAGGTGACCGCTTGGAACACCGCAGAAACTGCCAGAATTGCGAAGCTCCAGTTGGAGGCGAACACCAGCCATCTCCAGGCCTCTCCCATATAGAACTCGTTGGTCTCATACACAACATCTCCTGATACCCAGCCCAGGAGAGCCAGTCCCACCACAATTCTGTAAATTATGTAGGCCCGCGGTCGACCTGCCCACTGTGGAAGAAACAGATTGGCCTAAAGTTTGTTGTTGTTGTTGTTGTTGTTGTTGTTAGCTGTGCAGTTTTGATATACTGAATTAAGAGCAATAGGCAGGAACTAAAATAACATGAACGTTCATGTTAGTGGTACTACAATCAAATAAGTAGAAGAATTCAAATTGCTAGGAAGAATATTTGCTGAGCAGTGGTCACGCCTGGCACTGCAGCCAACATTGTTGGGGGCCGCTAGCTCTCCTCGGAAGGTGAAAAGTGGAAATTAGTAGCCTGTCGTGATGGCACAGGCCAACCCCACCTCTCCGTAGTGCAGACTGGAAACTGTATCAGTGAGGATTGGGCCCCGCCAGGGGTGAAATACTGCTCGAGATGCACTATGCTATTGACAAATAGATCGGATACTACACCGGCTCGGTCGTCACTGTCGTGAAATGATAGCCATTACGCATCGGTCTGTAAGGCTGATAACCTGTCTTACCTGTAATCTGCACAAAATTCAAACTTGGACTCGCCCAGAAATATATAGTCCCCTATATCTATATATATAGGTCTGTATTGGACAACATTATTATGTCTGCCTTTTCTGGTTACTTTAACTAAACTCCACTTTTAAATGTATATCTCTTGGAGATATGTTAAGGGAGTTATTTGAGGTTTCTTGGAAACCGATTTACTCCTTGCCCAAGTATACAAGGGACTTCTTTTGTACCAACGCCTGAAGTGTTTAAGTGACACTATTCTCCTTGCCAGCTTCTCAAGCGTCCAGATGTGTTAATCTGTGCCTGTATAAATTTCACTTTTCAAGGCAATCTGGAATGTCTCAGTTTTTACATATGCTTGGGATGTATATTTTCTGAAGAGCTGGAAGAAGATTCACAGTCCGACCAACATCCACCAACCATCAAACCACCAGAAACAAACGGTTACCCACCAGCTAACACCTGTGAAGGTTCCTGACATCTCCAACATGTGGGAGATGGTACCTCAAACAGCTACCAGTGCTAGAGCTTAGTGTGGCTCAAAGACATTGTGTGTCCTTACTGGTGATAGAGACTTGCTAAATACAGGTACAGTTGCTGTGTCTTCTACGGTGAAGTACTCTTTCACTACCTGATCCAGTTGAGCAGAATTACCAGAGTCAAAGACAGTCGAATCATCAGGAGCTGAGGGAGGCATCATAGACAGAAAGAGGCTAAGTGCAGTTTGATACCTTATGTGCTTTATTCCTCACAGCTCCAAGGTTGTCCAATGATGACAAGATGTCATCTCCAAGACCTTCTGTCTGTGTAGTATCTTTGTGATTTGGACAGGATATCCTGAGATCTAGCCTAGGAGATCTGGCAATTGTCTCACTTTTATATATCTATTTTATATTGATTACATGCATTCAATTTCATGGCTGACTTAGGTGTCTCTATTTCACCTTTTTAAGTGTTTAGCAGTTGTGTATGTATGTATCTTTATTATATGTGTTAACATGGTTATGATAATGAACTATCATAACCTGGGGGCTTTCTTTAGTAAGTAGTGGGGGTGTCCAGCCAAGTGTGCCTAGAAATATTGTATTTATATACTGATATATTTTGTAGTGCCAATACTTGAGTTGCCCTACTCCAGAGATAAGTTGATCGTATATTGGCCACGGGGAATCCCTTAGACCAATACGAGCCAAACGACTCAACATAATTATCTCTGAGTGCTGTTGGTTCTGAAGGAGGAATCTTTACTTTAGGCACGCGACAGGAGTGATATGTGACAGAGTCACCCAGGTGACCAAGGACTGCGCCACCCTTCCCAGATCAGAGCGGACGCGAAAACTTAGCTACTGGTCATAACGAGAGGCAGTTTATGCGTGGAAGACACACTGGCAACTATAAACCTCTTTTAACTACAGTGAAAAGGCGACAATGCAATGGTATGGACTTGTAATAAGATCTAACCGCCTCTCAGAAACAATACTGCAGTGCTCAGTTGAGGGAAAGAGGAGAAGAGGCAGACCAAGAAAGATCTGGTTACAGAACCTGACTAACTGGACAGGCCTCAAACATGCAACCACGAAGTCCATCGCCACTGACCGCCAAAGGTGGAGAGAGCTGATCAGACAGTCAACAGAAACTGGTGACCCAACGACACGTAATGTTACGGGATGATAATGGTGATGATATTTGCCGAGGATGACAGACTTGATAGAAAGATAAGCCAGAGTACAGAAAGCGTGAGTTGTCACCTACTAGTCAACCCCACTGCTTAGATACCCAGATCCCCCACCCAGGTAAAAAGGCAACCAGAAAAGAAAATAATTACACATGAAATGCGCTGTCTCTGTAAGGTGACTGATAACACAAAAAGGGACATGGTTGGTTACGAATGACAGCATTGAAGATTTGATTTGATTTGATTCAAGAACTGACATCACAGCACCTGGGTCATTCCCATAAGCGCTCCGCCCCATCTTCAGCAGCTAGCGAAGAGTTCCGATACTAACGGTGTCCGTAGAATTATGAATAAACTTCCGTCTTGCCTTTCCTCTGAGCCTTGAGCATCTGCCAGAACCTCTCGTCACCCCCCTTCCCCTTTTTCCCCCTGCATCAATCTCACCAGACTGTGGTGATCCATCGGCATTAGAGAGAACGTTTGAATAAGACCGTATCTTTACTGACAGATAAATGATGAAATGGTTGGGCATGCAAAAACGTGAAGAAACCAAACTCATCACTCCTGCCACCCGAGAAGCGTAAGACAAATACAGAAAACCACGTCCCGGGGAGACAATCTGGTATCAGTGAGACGCCAAAAGAATAGAAAAATACAGAATAACCAGGTGAAGTGTGCACTTTTGATTACAATAAAACTCAGAACAATGCATCCAGAATAAAATCTCGATCAACATTCGCACACAAAAACAATGGACTGCATTTCCATTTAGATTGTGGAACCGGACATAACACTCTGATTTAGATTGTGGAACTGGACATAACACTCTGCATCATAAGTTCATGACATTCAAAATTAGGGACTCAGAGCGTTGATCATGCGGATAGGCAAGTCAGAATACTGATCACACACTGCTGACAGGTTCTCTACGTGTCACAGAGAGGTCCCTGGTTTTGGCCAGCTGGCACTCCGATGGAACCTGATCTATGTGGGTGAGTGGTGGACGTGCTTCGCCGCACGGCTTCCGTGAGATTCCAGGTCTCGGCCATGTGGCACTCCGATGGAACCTAATCTATGTTGGTGAGTGGTGGACGTGCGTCGCCCCACGGCCTCCGTAGAGGATTGTAGCCTTCTTTCTCATCTGAAAGTCACTGACAGGGAGAGCAAGCAAGAAGAGGAAAAAGAGGAAGGTCTGTGCAACTTCTAGACTCTTTTCCGTGCTCTTTTTGGCTCATCGGGCATATGATAAGCAGAGTACAGAAAAAGGAACCTTTCCAAGTCTTCAGGCGTATGAACATTTAGAGCATATATATAGTTTACAGACCAAACGGCACTCGGTGGTTGATGTGGTCAGCATCACGCCAGCCGCCTTTGCTTTCCATGATTACCTCTGGTACCCACTCAAGGGCGGCGTCCGTGGCTAAGGCGTTGCGAGTCCGACTCGTAAGCCAGCATACCGCGATCGAAATCCACTGCAGGCTGCGTGGACTTTTATCGTGGTATGGGACGTCGCAGGTCGACCCAGCCTAAAATGGGTACCAGGATGGGCTGTCCTGGGAAAGTAAAGACAGCCGGCGTAATGCTGACCACATTACCCACCGAGTGCTGATGGTCTGTAAAAATATGGGACGCTCTGCCCATATGCCCGATGCGCCGAAAGGCGTGAAAAGGGATCTTTACTTTTTTACTTACCCACTCAAGGCTGGGTAATTAAAAAAAAAAAAAATATGGTACTGTCAGCATCCGAACCAACAACTCTCCGGTCTGCAGGCCAGCGCTACTCCCCGCGGCTCCCGTACATGTGATACTAGAGTCATACTTATAGCTCAGTCTACACTCGGTGGCTGATGTGGTAAACATTTCACAGGTCGCCTATACTTGCACGGATTTTTACACAATATCCATTGTACACTGGGTCTACATGGCAGCTTGGTCAATTTAGAAGGGGGCAAAATCGACCATCTGCGTAATTGACAAAACTATTTATGGAACGTGTAGGTTGCATTTTTTAACCTGGAGCACAACTAAAAGAGATGAAGCCTCATTTCAAATTTTCGAAAACAGACTATTATGACTAATCTTTGGACCCATCAAAGATGCAAACAGCTGAGAATGTAGAGTTAGAAGCAACAACGAAATTCAGAATCTGTTTAAATCACCATTGATCAATGGCATCATGAGATCTAATTGACAGAAATGCTTGGGCATTTTGAGAGAATGTTAATTGTAGAGAGGTAAAGACTGTATACGCAAGTGAGCTGCATGGTCGTAGACAACGAGGCAGACCAAGAAGACAATGGAGAGACAACGTCCAGACAGACCTACAAACACTTGCAAGTGTCACCAACTGGAAAGAGAAGGCCAACCAGAGAGAGAGATGAGTGGAGGCGGGTGCAGCAATGAACCTCAAGGGCTCGGAACGCTGAAGAAGAAGAAGAAGAGAAGAAGAAGAAGAAGAAAAGAAGAAGAGAAGAAAGAAGAAGAAGAAGAAAGAAGAAAGAAGAAAGAAGAGAAGAAGAAGAAGAAGAAGAAGAAGAAGAAGAAGAAAAGAAGAAGAAGAAGAAGAAGAAGAAGAAGAAGAAGAAGAAGAAGAAGAAGAAGAAGAAGAAGAAGAAGAAGAAGAAGAAGAAGAAGAAGAAGAAGAAGAAGAAGAAGAAGAAGTGGGTTGCATTTAAAATGATATGAGGTTCGAAGTCAACGTATCCTTAAAAGGAAAGGAGTAAGGTGATTAGGTCCGGCATGATACTGGCCAAATCTCCCACGGAGAGCCCGTTGGTCTTTAATAACAGACTAGCACCATGTAACCATTACGCTTCAGTGAGTAGAGTAGAAAGGGTTGCTTTAGTA